TTTCCATAGAATATTCATACTGACAAACCTAGCGACTTTTTTGGATAAACCTTAGCTATGGTTCAGTTGGAGGATTTCGTCAGTGCTGTACCACGAACACGAGGTCTGACTTTCCTGGAGAAGTGTCACCTCTCTCGGCGTCTGTTCTGTGCAGTGAGCGGCAGAGAAGCAGCGCATTCAGTTGGCCGCACCGCAGCCGACTCGTCCATAAATGTACAAACAGCGTTTCCTAGCACCTGTCGCTTACTGATTGTTTGGAATTATAAATAGGAGCGTAGTTCGTCTGTTAATATCACATGCCCTTTTTTGTTTGTTGTTTTTTTTTTAGTTTGTTACTTAGACGCAGGCAGTGTGCTGCATGAAACAAAATACAGTAATATAGCCAAAACAACCGCATAGCCACTCTTTAGTGTAGATGCATGTTGATTTTATCAGACGATGCCGCGATTATAAATGAGAGAGACTCCTGGTTAACATGTATTAAAATGGGTCGTGTTTAGTCACTATTTAGTGTGGTATTTTTTGACAATATTCACTCATCATGACAGTAAAATAGGACATTCTAAGTCAATATACTGGAGTATTTCCTCTCTCAATCAGTAGAAAATATGGTTAACACCCGGTCATGCATGAAAAAAAAAAATACTTTCGTGTACCGTGAAACTGGTAGGATTTAGAAAAATACCGTGATATAAAGTTTTGGTCATACCGCCCAGCACTAATTATATGTTATGTTTACATAGGTGACAATCACTAAGGACAAGCTCTGTAAATAATCGGCAGGTCAGCAATAAAACTGAGCACTTAAAATGCACTACTTTCAGATATTCTCGGTTAAAGGTTTCAGAACCATCACGTCAACAAAAACGTCTTTAAAGCTCAAAATGGCACAATTTCAAATTCTATTAGCATGCTAAAAAAAAGCATGAACACTGAGGTTCATGCATGCAACTTTACATTTAACAAGCAATTAAAGTAACAAGTTAAACAAAATTATTCCATCTATACCAGCGTTTCCCACAGAAGTTTGTAAGCTATGGAGCATGGTACATTTTAAAGTTAAGCGCATCAATTAGGTGCTCCAACCCATTTTCCGGGATCATACCGAACAGAGTCTTTGCATTGACTTGTGTGGACTTTTTAAACCAAAATCAGTTTAGTCGTGATAGTGTCTCAGTCACATTCAGATTGGTGTTTTTAGAAAGCAAAAATATTTGAATACATACAACATCAAGTTTATATTATTATTATGCCTAAGACAGAAATATATTACAATTGCAAAGATGCAGCCAATTATGTAGCCATTTTACAACATTATTATCCCAAAGACAGAAATACAATACTATTGTCAAGGTGTGGTCATACAGTGGTCATATTTACAGCTGTTCAGCAAATTTTCATGGGTGAAATCCAGTCATTCCAATAGGATTCTACATGATCAGGATTTTTGCTTGGAAGCAAAAGATTTCCCCACACAGATTCACAACGGATTCAAACTGTTCACAAAAATTTGCTGTGATGACTGATAGAAAATTACCTGTTTGGTTTGAAAGTGACTTCTGTGTGAGCTGTGCTTCACGCATCTCTACACTATTGACAATATATACCTTTCTGCCCTGCAAAATTTCACCAAAATAAATGTAAATGACATGTTAAGTTTTCATAAGTGATACTTCACACTACAGAAGTAAAATTACAATACTGTCCTAGTTTTGAGTTAAACCCTCACTACATTCTAGGCAATTAAACATTGGGAAACACTATATACCATGACATGCTGAGAAAAAAAAAAACATGGCCTTAATTGCCCATATTTCCAAGAAAGGGATGCATTGCTACCTGTGCACTTTTAACCAGTCTTATCTGTTTACCTGACAACAAAACTTGCAGCTACACTGAGAGATCACTAATCACTTTTAAGTGTTATATAAACTTTAAAAACATTCCAACTACTGCAATTCCACGAATGCGCAGGCTATACTGAGACACATGCTCATGTAAACTGTACAATAAAAGCTTTGTGTTGAACCACAGGCTTTACATTGTAAACTGACAGCCGTATCACCACAATGATCCAATGAGATTAGCAAACTGTGAAATATGAAATGCCATTTCCTATTTCTTGGGCCTTGGTTTGTTACCAAAAGCAGGTCTAAATAACATTTACAATGTTCAGTCACCCGAAGGGGTTGTAAATGGCCAAATAACTACATAAAATGTGACGCCATAGTCAGTTTATCACTTTTACAGTTTTCGGACAGTGGCCATAAAAAAAATCCAATACACACAACGGACTCCTCCACAGGAGGACAGGCACAATAAACTCCAACAAAGACCATAATTAACAATATTTTAGGCCCATCTAATTATGTTTAGTATAGGTTTACTACTTCTAGACACCATGAGATTCCTTGCTTTCAGTGGGACAAGAATTGTTGAATATCTAGCTAATATGAACTAATTAAATCTGACATAAATATAACATTTTTATATAAAGATTATTTTATTAACTGACTAACTTATTTGGATGAAAAAAATATATATATATCAATTCATTTCCATCAGTTATTTACAAAATTGTTATTCCACATCCTGCCCAATTTTGTCCTCCAAACAATGTGTAATTCGAAGGCAATGAAAACAAATTGTGATACATGTAGGCTGTGTGGAAAAAAAGGGGTTAAAACGTAAACCTAATGCTTACCATTTGAAAGCAGAAGTTAAAAACTCTAAATTAAAAATGATTAATCAAGACAAACAAAAGCACAAACTAAAAGTTAGCTAACTGATACGAGGTGCAAGAAACATTCAACATATTATTACATTTATACTCCAATACAATACATACTGTCTGCTTCAACGCTTCCAAAGCATTGAAGCATTCAAAATCAGTCTAAGCATTCAAAACAGTCACACAAAACCCCAACAAAGGGCATCTGTATGCCTTATTAATAAATATGCAAGCCCAAATGTGAAGGCAATGTCAGAATTTCGAGCCGTTTACAGTGAATATCACCCTCAACCCTGTGTAAATCTACAGGTGATAAGAGCCATTGATTCACACGGGGGAATTTTCCCAGCAGGCCTCAGTAACTGCTGAACAACCTCAAAAACACTAAACACAGCACAGAAATGTGTGACATTAGCTTTTTAACACAATAATTAGTATTTAGCCAACGCTTACAAAAAAGTACTGTAGTGTTACCACGGTATCAGGTAACGTTACTACTAGTCAGTACTGTACAGGCCTAATTATCATATTCATAACATCGTATTTACATGTTACTCTTAAGTGTTTAAATAACATGGTACATTACTAAGCTATATACAAGTAGCTAGTCTAAAAATACCATGGTGTTTTCTGTAAGCGAAAGAAAGCGGTAAACAGTAAACCCTGTGTGTAACGTTAACAGTTACATGAGAGGCCATTGCTAAGGATGGTGACAGGGAACACTTAAAATCGCTTATTTAACACCAAATTACACGAATATTCAGTCAAAATGCAGTGGAAATTAATACCTCAATATGTTGACATGTCAACCCACTGCTTCACAACAAAATATTAGGCGTAATGAGTATGAATCAACTGTCTGACAGACTCGTTTCGCTTACCTGGGTTCAGGAAGGATGATTTTCTTGCTCGCGCGGGCCGCTGGAGTCGATTTGCTCTTCTCCATCGCCATCAGGTAGCTGACATCGGCGAGAACCGCTTCGAGGTCCGCCATCTTCGAGCCCTCTGGGTCGAACCGAGCCGCTAACGGTACCAGAACCGGCCGTGAGGGGACTGTGGGCGGGCGAACTCAGCACGAGACGAGCGCGGGAGCTGTGATGATGATGCTGGTGGTGATGATGCGCGAGAGAGGCGCGAACATCTATCCCAGCCTCAGGTCTTTATTTATTTTATTTTTTTTAATCGTTTTTCCCCCTCAGAAGTCTCTCAGAAATCAATCATCGTGGCTGAAAATAGACGAAAAAAGGATGCGCGAGAGAGGCGCGAACATCTATCCCAGCCTCAGGTCTTTATTTATTTATTTATTTTTTAATCGTTTTTCCCCCTCAGAAGTCTCTCAGAAATCAATCATCGTGGCTGAAAATAGACGAAAAAAGCAGAAGAAAAAAAAACAAACACCCCGAATAGAAAATCTATAGGTTGCTTATCTATGAAACAACGTCACCCTCAGGTCCACTGGAGTTGTAGAAATGGCTTCTTGTTTCAGAGAGGAGAGCTATATGTGCATGGCATCGCCTCCAAGCCCGGACATTTCCAAAACAATGATAATTCTAGATGGGGATAACGATAATGTCGATTAATCGAACCCCCCATCCAGCACCCACCACCTTTGGGTGAGTTTAACGCGAACAACACACCTACCGGTTTAACGACCGTCAAAAAATGACATGCAAGTTAATTTAAGCCACCGTCTGCGCAGATGAATGGAAATAACGGGCTGGTTAACTACAAATACATGCAAGCTGGCCAGTCAGTGTCACAAATGGATGATGCTCAAATCAAAACGTCGATGCGATCCCGTTAAACCCAACAAGATACAGAACACGAGTCGCAAACGAGCGGACAAGACGATCTCCTTAAGGTATTAAAATAAAGCAAGCCTCGCTGCAAAGCTGACAAATCGCCAATGCATGAAAATGGACGCGGTTCAATCACATTAACCAGTTGACAGCACGCAAACAGACCTCATATAATAAGGGTAATATGTATCAAGGCGGAAAGATGGTGGAAACCTGAAGCCCGATGGTTGGAGAAACATAAATAGCGATGCGATGCGACGCGACACGAGCAGCTGGATTGTTTTCTGAATAGCCAAAAAGCATTCAAGATCTAAACAGCATATGCATGCGTGTAAATACCCTGGTAATATCACAAACAACTCCCCATTTTTGTGGTTCGATGGTTGAGATCTGCCTGTCACTCACTCCTCTTGCTGATCCAAGCTGGTTGTCTTGAATTTAGAAGCCAATTAAAGGGCCAAAATTAAACTAGATGCGTTTCGCCTCGTGCAGTGCAATGCAGTTTCCCTCTTAAACTGGATTTGCTTGCTCGTCAGTTTATTTATGTAATGAGAGGTGTGCGCTAAAAGCAAAAAACGGCTGAGATATTGCTCTACTGTAACCTACAGAAGAGAGGGGGGCGCTAGAAAAGGAAATAAGCAGATGTGAACGAAAGCAACCCGAGTTTCCTTTTACTAAAAAAAAAAAAAAAGAAAAGAAAATGTCGCGATAGTGCCACAAAACGTGGTCAGATGAAACTTTGCAAGACAGGAATATACATAAAACACAGCTACTGTGATTTAGTTGTGAATAAAAAAAACAAACACAAAAATAAAGAGTTGACCCTGAAATCTCTGCGCTAGATCTCGCGGAACTTCTCATGCATGGCTGTGCGTCTCGAACTCGAGCTTATAAACGGACGAAACTGTGAGTTTCGAGGAAGACAAACGACGTGGCTTTTAACCCCGACACGCTTCGTTCAGGGGTTTCAGATGTACTTTCCTCCAAAAGACATCCGATTAGGATTTTTCGATGTTACTGCCGAGAGAAACCACTCTTTTCTTTCCCATCCGTGTTTGGGTCGCAGATCCAAGTCTTCATCTCTTCCGACATCGCTCAACAAAAACACTATATCCGTCCACATAAAACACTCCAGTCCGACTCCGCTCAGGCCCTCCGGGAGAGAGTGCTTCTCGAGGATTCCCTGCCGTTAATCCAGATGGGAATACACGACTATTTTCTTGTTTTAGTGCTTGTGAGTAAGCTGAGCCCCTCGGCGCGTCGTGAAGTGAAAGGCTTTTCTGAGAACTGCACTTCCTCCCAGCGGCCGAGTCGCAAAAAAACCCGGCGCTGGAGCCGCAAAACCCGGAGCTGGAGCCGTAAAACCCGGAGCTGGAGCCGTAAAACAAGGAGCCGGAGCCGTAAAACAAGGAGCTGGAGCGCTTTGACGAGGCGGAGCTGGACTCCTGAGGTGTGTAGTCTTTAATTCCTTTTGATTTTATTAACTGACACTTTTGTTCGAGTTGTTTTAGTGCCCTTTTGTTATACTTCTTTAACTGAATTGATTTAGGCAACATATGCTCTCTCTTTAAATAAAAGCGCCCGCTAAATGACTAAATGTAAATGCAAAAGCGTAAAAAACGAAGTACGTAAAAAGCTACTACGGCGAAGGCTGAGTCATGCATATTAAATAGATCGTGCTGACGTTGCTTAGTAACCTTCCTGAAGCGCCCAGTCATGTCACCTCATTAATATTCATAAGCCGAACCTTCCCCGTAGAAGGATTTTCATTCGCGGTCTGAATAGCGCCCACTCACTTCTCAGCAAATCTGCTAGGCGTACTGGCGCACGTCACTGTACCTAATTAATATTCATAACCCATTGCTATATCATAGTAGTGAAGTCTAGTGGCTGCGCCATGTTATCTAAATAAAAATGGTTGTGTAAGCGCATCCCACCTCTTTTATCAACAATGCATCTACAAAAAAAGCATTTGTTTGGGTTTCTCCTTTCAGTTCCTGGTCATATGATTTAATCTGACAAACAATGATATTTAAACCCACTTCTAGGACCAAGTTAAGTCATGTTATGGACCGTTTTCGTTTATTCTATTATAAGAGAATTATGATATTTAGTTTCTCAATAAACCTGATTATTTTATATTGCATGCCTTTCTTACTTATGATCATTTGGCTTGTAGGCTTATTGCTCCCTCTGGCGGAAAACTGGCGAAAGTGCATTTTATTTTCTTTGGAATAGTTCAGCCAAAAATAAAAATTCAGTCATCATTTACTCACCCTCAGGTTGTTTCAAGCCTGTATGAGTTTCTTTCTTCTGTTGAACACAAAGGAATATATTTTTAAGAATGCTTGTAACCAAACAGTTGATGGTAGCCATTGACTTCTATAGTATGGATGAAAAAAACAATAGAAGTCAATGGGTACCGTCAACTGTTTAGTTACCAACATTCTTTTAAAAAATCTTCTTTTGTGTTCAACAGAAGAAAGAAACTCAAACATCTGACAAATGATGACAGAATTACAATTTGTGTGTCAACTATGCTTCTAAAAAGAAAGTTTTTATTATATAAACAGTTATATAAACAGAATTTGTTTGAAAGTGTCCAAAATTCCTCAATGTTGCTCTGAGGTTTTAGTAAATGCACTTTTTTTGGACACAGATTTATAACAGGAGGTCAGTGAGGTTTAAGAAAGACAGTTTATTTAGCATTGGGCAGAAAGGGGCATGAGAGTTTTTGCAAGGAGAGGGGCAAGGAGAAATCCGTTACTGCTGGATACGGCGGATGGACTGGATCTGAGGGGTCTGGCAATGGGAGCCAAACTCCTTGAAGTATTTGTACTCCCCACAGTGGCGGTCACACTCCATGATGTACTGGTATCCACGGTAACCAGGGAACTGGTAGCACACGAACCTGTCGCGTGCGGATCGAAGAACAGACGGCGGTGAATGAAAGATGCGAAAGGAAAAATGACACAGAAGAACCCAGACAGATACTCACGCTCCGGATTGAACACGCATAGAGCCCACTTCATTGTTGCACCATCCCATAGCCTGAAGAGAGGGGTAGTCGTCACTGAGCTCTCCCTTGCGGCCCAGGTAGTTCTCCCTCTCATAGATGGTCATTCTGCACTCCCTGTGGTTCTGGGAGGAATCATATTAAACATAATGTCAGCCAATGAGCATAAATGGTCATTATAATATGAATTAATTGCAATCAAAACCAATGCAAAATGAGGTCAGATAAGGCAGGTTGGGTCAGTGATGTGTGATGTGGTTTTGTGAACTTACAGAGCAGGAAATGGGTCTAAAGGAGGTCATTCTCTCGATGTGGTAAGCATTGCTTCCTCCAAAGGCATCGCACTGAGGGTACTCACCACGCTCCAGCACAAAATGGTGACCCTGGTAATTTCCGTGCTCGTAGCCGACCCACCTGAACAAAAACACGAGTTAAGCCTCGGCTGAACTTGTGTGCCACACAGTATTGACTACTAAAGTTATCTTTTTAGTTAATTAAAATAAAGCTGAAGTTAAATATAAATATTAGATGAAAAAACTTGGCCTTGGCAACTAAATAAAATAAAATAAGTAGAAGTACTAAAATGGCTTAAACTGTAATAAAAAAATAATTAAAACTAAAAAATATTTTTAAAAAAGACAAAAGCACATAACAAAATTACTCAAACTTGAGCTTAAATTAAAATGGAAACAGAATTAAAAGTGAATGCAAAATATTATATATATGTAAAATACACTGAAAGAACTTGGTGTTGAATTTCACTCAGAAATTTCACAAATAATTACAGTTTTTTTTTTATTTCGTTTTTTTTTAATAAGCTGAAATAAAATAAAATATAAATATTAGATTAGAAACAATGTTAAAGCTAATTTAAATTTAACTAACTGAAATGAAATTAGTTTAAGTTGAAGTACTAAAATAGATATAAGTGAAATAAAAAATTAATTAAGGCTAAAAAGAAATATCAAACCAAAAAAATGAACAAAAAAGACAAAAGCCCACACAAAAATTCTTAAAATGTAAGCTGTAAGCTCAAATTAAAACGAAAACTTAAAATATAAAAATAAATATATATACATACAAATACTTTAATGGTATATAGTATATAGTACTTTAAAAAAGACGAAATAAAAAAAAACTGTAATTATTTGTGAAATTTCTGAGTGAAATTCAACACCAAGTTCTTTGAAGTATTTGTACTCCCCACATTTCCCAAGTAATTACAAAGAAATAGCAAATCACACATTGAGTTAAACTTGAAGCTTTGAAGTAGAAAAACTGAAATAGTATTTTCTTGAAGAACATCCTCGAAATAATGTTTTATTTACGCCGTCGAAAAATCATCTTTTACTAAAACAACACTGTGGCATCAGTTCGTGGCATGAAGGTTTCAAATCAGACCGTCCTTGTACATCAAAACATGTTCT